GGTGTGTCTGTGTGTAGAATATTCAAAGTGGAATCTCCAAATCATGGAAAAGACGTTGGAAAAATGTCTCATGTATCTCCGGAAAGATTGGCTATTTTGTCGGCTTACCATATGCATCGGGATTTAATTAAATTATTTAAGCAGAAACGTATAAGAATATACATTTACAATTTTACATTAACCAAATGGCAAATCTAAGTCCTTCTTATTATCATTAAAAATATAGAAATATTTGAAATATTTACAATACACTACAAAAAATTGAATTTCTTGAAACCAAGTAACCAACCCCTCCAAATAAAAAAGTAAAAAAAAATAAATAAATAAATAAATTGAAGTCAACTATAGAGGTGTTTTATTCTTTGATGATGTTGTCATGTTGAGGCTCCAGTCCACACACGCACATGACATTAATAAATAAATATAAAAATCAGTTAATATTTGTACTCATCCTGTGCTAAGAAAATCAAATGACAGCTTTATATATTTAATTATTTATAAACTATATGACACGGTTTTGTTGAATGAAAAACGAAGACCAAGACTTCATTTAAATGACCGGTTGACTTTTAGTATGCTTCATATCGTCCTTACAACTTAAGGATGAGGAGAAATATTTAAAGAAAAAACAACTTTACCTGTGAATGCGTGATGGTAAAAGTGACGATGAAATCGATAGTCTAGCATAACAGTTACATATTCTTATTGATAATATGTGTATATATGTGTTTGATTACTATGTTCTCCAATGTTATTGCATAAGCCTAAATGTAATAAGCAAAGTGGAAGAGATAATAATTAAGAAATAAAGTCACAAAATTAGAAATGGTAATCACAAATCAATGAAGACCGCACAAATTAAATACAAACATATGTTGAACATATCTTAATTTCATATACAAATAAATTAACGTCATAAATTAGACTTACTTTGGAGTATTTGTCTTGATCGTAAGAACCTTCTGTTCCCATGGCCTTCAACAGTTACAGACGAGAGAGAGAGAGAGAGAGTATAAAGAAGATTTATTGAGCCAAAGGGAGTGACAACTGCAGATCAAACTCTTATGAGAGCCGTTTATATATAGAAGAAATATATATGCAGAGTAATTTCTAAACTCTTAAAATGATATCACTGGTATTCAAACTAAGTTAGATTCAAGGGAACGTTTTTCGTTTGACTTTTGAGAGTCAGTACCATAATGGAAACCAAGGGAGCAAATATATATATAACAACTTACAATATTGTTATTACAAGATTTTAAAAATAAAAAAATACATATTTATAATAATTAATATATGAATTAAATAAAAAAAAGGTAAGAGTAGTATATGTTAACTTAAGAAAAAAATGAAAGATAAAATAGTTTATGGTAATTCCTAAGCCTAATAGTCAAAACCAAGCCTGAACATGGGTCAATGCAAAGCACTAATTTATGTCAAATAAGCTTACGAAGCACATGAGTCTACCACGTTAGCTCAGCGCATTTAAGATTATATATAGGGGCGATTATTAATTGACAAGGACCCTATAATATATGTTGTGTGCTGTATGTATTTTCCTAATTTTAATTGTTAATTAACAAAGACCGTGTGTTGTATGTATTTGCCTAGGAAAATTCATCCTACCTTGTGGGTATGTATGTACACTCTCTTTATTAAAAATGGATTAAAATAAACAGATTATCCTAAATTAACAGGTGGACCTTTTGTTTTTTCCTTTCTCACTTTGGTTAATTGTATTTGTCATCATATATGGTATCTCGTAATTAATATTTTCCAAGTAGAAAACATATTTAGAATCGGCTGGTAATAAATAGATAAAAAAATCCAGCTGCAAAAAGATTCTTAGTTCACATTTGAGAGGCCAGGATCTTCCAGCTCATTATATTTCAATTGAAAATGATACATTGATCACCAAATGTTGACTTGTAGTTTAAATATGGTATCTTTAGTCTTCCCTTTTTTTCCAACAAGTGGGAGAATTTTAATTCATTCCCATTCAAATATTTCAAATCAATCCAATAAATTAAATCAAGCATAC